CAATAGAAGTAAAGGCTGCGGCGACGACAGGACAAAGCTTCAGGCGCCCAAATTATGAGACACCAAGAAACGTTTTCACTCGGGGGCGCGCTCAATTCCCTCAGCAATCGAGGGATCGCCAGTCCCCTCGTCCGGCACGGACGGTAACAAACAATATCTGCTTCAACTGCGGAGGCGTTGGGCACTTCTCTCGCCAATGCCCCTCACCCAGGGTCTCACGTGGAGCAGCAGATAAGCCAGTTCGGCGCAGTCTGTCTAGTGATCGTAATTATAATCAGTCGTCATCTCGTGGATTTTTGCCACCCTCCCGCTATGAAAGGGACAGGGAACTCTCGCAAGCCCGTGATCAGATCCGGGCTCTCTCCATTTCCCTGCACGAGAACCAGTCGGCACTTGAGAGATCTGATGCTAGGGTTAATGCATTAGTGAAGCGCAATGAGGAACTGGCCAACTCGGCGTTCGGCACTTCTTCTCCCCGCTCGTCTACCACTTCCATGCCATCGGTTAAATTTCTTTTTACCATCTCAATGCTCGTTTGCGCGGTGATTGGGGAACCAATTTCAACGTCAGCTTGGCTGTGTCCGTATGATCCAGCCGATGCCCTTGCGCGAATCCCCACGTCGTATAATTGCTCGTGGATTATACCACCGGCCGAGGAGACCCCCAGAGCGTTGTCGGTTCATATTTACCGCCCCAACACTCAGCGTTACGACACAGTGGCGCACCTGTGCAAGGTCGTAGTCCAGTCGGTCACCTACTCAGTTAATTTCTTCGGGGCACGTTATCAGAATTCGTCTGAGACCCATGCCGTCGTACCCCTCGAATCCTGCAAATTGATGATACAACATCACAAGTGTGAGCATGGTACTTTGATTCAATCTGATGACTTTTGGGCAACTTCCAACCCTCTAGTCATCCAATGGCCTACTGCCCCTCTCGGTTGCTGTTCAGAACGCACCGTTACGGTTTCTAATTGCTTCCTGGTTCGAACTGTTGTCCATATGCGCCACGGTGCCCCTTTTCCCGACTCTCCAGTCGGAAATCTCGCGCAATGCACTTACGAGTCCGGAAATTGCGTTTTGCAGGATGGGTCAGTGCTGGTTTGGACGCCCAGTAAGCAGGAATCATGTCGGTTTACGCCAATTATGAAGATGAAGGGTCGGCAGCTCGGTGACATCTGGATTAGCGATTCCAAGGAATTCGCTCTTTCATGGCGCGAAACCAGCGATCGTGTAGTGGACTGCGGGGCTCGGCTTATTCTCTCGGACCAGGGCTATGCGGTCGCACCAGCAATTCGTCGTCCCCGTTCCACGGACATCGACGCCGGAATAGTTACCTCCAATCAACTGGCCGCGCAACTACTAGCGGTGGAAGGTTCAGTAGGATCTGCAGTCTCCTCGCTTTTCCATCACGCGTTGTCCGCTCTATGCGACAGAACGAACCTTCTCGCCTTCGCTCTCCATACGTCTTTAGCTGCTAATCCAACCCTCACCCTTCGCAACCTTTTGGGTCGTAATGATATAGCGGCTTCCTCGCTGGGTAGCAACTTGGTGCAAATTCATCGGTGCATGGCCATCCCCGCCAATAACTTCAAGCTCATACCCTTTAATGGCACCTGTTTCTCTAAACCAATGGTCAGGATTGTTCCACCATCAGGTAACGCTATTTTCTCCTTTCTTGACCCTACTACCTTGGTCGCTTCTCAGCAAGCCTCTACAGTTGATTGCTCGACGGTACGCTATTTCTATCTTCAGCGTGAAGACTCTTTTCTCAGATTCGATTCATTAACTGGTCATTCACAATTAATTCCTAATACTCTGGTTCCAAACATCGGTATCCCTTCTAACTTTAATTCTTCTTTTCTCGCTCTTCCTCTCACGATTTTCCACAACCTCATTCTGACCAATCTTAGCGAATTGGTCCAAGATCATCAATGGCAAGAATTGTGGTCTGCTGTATCAACAGATCACCTTTCGCATATTCGTGTAGCTGACGATAAGGAATCTCTCTTCGACTCTATATCACGCAAGTCGCATTCATTTTCACTTTGGTCAACAATCTTTGGTCCTTGGTCGTCTTTTGACCTGTGGATCACTTGTTGCGGTGTCATTGTAACCTTTCGTATGATTAAAACGGTTTTTATTCTTTACTGTAATATATATTACCCGGGTTTGCTCCCGCGATTGCGAGAGCAACTCCCGATCTACCGTACTCCTCCTTCTCAGCCACTCTCATTAGCCAATCAGCCACGCCCCTCGATATCCTCTAATACATCTTCTCAGTCAACGTCACAATCTGTTCCGTTAGCTTGTCTTAAAATTGATGCCTCTTCCTCTTGGCCTCCTCGTGCAATCATGAGCTCCGTCAATGTTTTATATTTATCGCATCGTGATCGTTTCTTTGTTGCGCAGATTCCTATTCGAGTTAACCATGTGCAAGTATTGGCCCTTGTTGACACCGGTGCATCCATTACTCTCACTTCGGTAGATACTATTCCTTTATTTGGAGCATTCCAGCTGCTTCAAAGCGATGTTACTAGCGCAGTAGGTATGGCAGGAGTTCCTGTCCACCTTTTGGGTTTTGCACCCCTTTCGTTTGAAATCGGGTCGTTATCGTTCGAGCATCCTGTCTACTTTACAAAGTCAGCTTGCATTCCCGACGTAGCGGATGCCTATAACATTATTCTAGGCAATGACCTCCTTCGTAGGTTACCACCCTGGACTATTGACTATGATAACTCTACTCTACGCTTTGCGGATCACCACTTAAAAATATTGTGCGCGTCCCCCTCAGACCCTTCGCCACTTGCCGAGCAGACGATGTCTGTTCGTGTTGCTGAGACTACCGTACTCCCACCGTCATCCGAGACTCTTGTCCAATGCGTAACAGGGCACACCTGCCCAACTTCGCTAGTGTTAGTTTCTCAAGATGACAAGCTGTCAAGCAAATCACTAATGGTTTCTCCAGCAGTAATCAATGCTGCTGACCCCCTTCTGTTGATATCTAATCCTTCATCTCGACCTGAAACGCTCTATAAGGGACAACAGATATCATTAGCTGTTCCTCTTGACAGTAATGACGCTTTACCTCTTTCTCATTCTCAGTCTAACTTACCTCCCTTCGTAGGTGATGCTACGGTGAGGGCCGACCGCCCCGAAACTACAAACATCATCGACTCCTGCAAAGTCGATCTGTCTTTCGCAGAAGTCTCTGACGAAGAACGAAACCAATTGGCTCAGTTGTTCTATGAGTTCCGGGATCGCATCTCCACTGGTTCTTACGATCTCGGCTCCTATGAAGAGTCTGAAATCGTTATCAAGACGACGACCGATACCCCTCAAACCCGATTCCGCCCTCCGCGCATTCCCGTTAAATTCCAAAAGGAATTAGACGATCACATTAACAAGTTACTCCGTGCGGGGCGTATTGTCGAAAGTGACACACCTTGGGTTCACAACACCGTTCTCGTTAAGAAAAAGGACGGTTCTTTGCGAGTCTGTCTAGATTTTCGCCCTTTAAACAGTGTTACCGTACCCGATCACTACCCTTTGCCGCGCATTGAGGATATCTTAACTAAGATAGCCGGTCACAAATTTTATACCACTTTGGACTTGGCATCAGGGTATATGCAACTCCTTCTCTCTCCGGAGAGCCAACAGAAATGTGGTTGGGCAACACATCGGGGTATTTACCAATTCGTGTACCTCCCATTCGGTCTCAAAAATGCGGGAGCTTACTTTTCTCGGGCCATGGCACGCATCCTAGCAGGCTTAGAGAATAATTGTCTCGCTTATCTGGACGATATCGTCATATTTGACAAGGATTTTCCCAACCATCTCCAATCCTTGCGTAAGGTTTTCTACCGATTCCGCCTTTTTAACATTAAGGCGTCCGGTAAGAAATTGACAGAAATTGCCCGCACCCGCATTACCTTTTTAGGCCACGAGATCTCCGGCACTTCCTACTCACCCGCGGCTAGGAACGTTCGTGCCATCGAACAATTTCCCACGCCTACCACGACAAAAGCCGTGAAAGGATTTGTAGGCATGGCCAACTTCTTCAGGAAGTTCATTCCAAATTTTGCGTTAGTTGCGGCCCCCTTGTATGCCCTCTTAAAGGACAAGGCGAAGTTTGTATGGGGACCGGAGCAGCAGGAAGCCTTCGAACGGCTTAAGCTTCAGCTGACGTCGAAACCATGCTTAGGATTCCCACAGGACAAGGAATTTTTCCTTCATACTGACGGCAGTCAATATGCGGTAGGAGCGGCCTTGTTTCAACGTCATTCGGATACGGACCCACAATTCGTTGCCATCGGTTACTTTAGTAAAACGCTATCGGAATCTCAGCAGAAATGGAGTCCCACCCACATAGAATTATTCGCAATCGTAAGCGCGCTACGTTTTTTTCGTCCCACCATATACGGTAATCACACTACCATCTACTCCGACCATCGTCCGCTCACATTCCTGTTAAAACATAACAAGACGCATGACAACTTAACACGGTGGGTCGTTGAGCTGCAGAGTTATGATGTTTCTATAGAATATCTGAAAGGGTCGTCTAACGTCGTAGCTGACGCCCTGTCCCGAGCCGTAGATTCCCGTGTCAGGTTCCAGGATGGCACACCTGAAGCAGAGGACATAGTCGAGTTTCCCGTCAGCATCAATACTGCCGTGCCCGTAGCATATTCGATACGACCTTCAATTTATTGTGTAGGTCCCCTTCATGCGATTCGTCCCTACGACGCTTTGCAAGAGCAAAGAAACGACCAGTTTTGTTCCGCTATCCTCTCTTTCATAGAGACACAGCGATTCCCTTCCTTTCTTAGCGACCAACAAAAGACGGAATGGCTGGCCATTGCCGAAAAATGCGTGAAACGGAAGAACGGTTGCGTCTATTACGTNGACCGCCAAACGGACTCCGCACCCTTCCGCTTCGAACGACTATTAGTGCCCGACAAGCTTAAAGAGCCCATCTACTTGGCATTCCACACCAGCCCTTCCTCTGGAGGACACTTCAACTGGAAGAAAACTCTCGCGAAGGTCGCACGCAAGTACTTTTGGCCTCATATGGCCGAGGATATCTTCTCGCTGGTTCGCTCTTGTGAAGCATGTCAGCGCAAAAGGCCTAATCCCACTAATCGTGAACATCTGATACCCGTCGTAAGCAAGGCGATATTCGATAAGGTTTATATTGACTTGACCGGACCGCTCCACGTGTCCGAAGCGGGTAATAAGTATATACTAGCGATGATAGACCATTTCTCCAAATATGTTATCGCTACGCCGCTGCCAGATTGCACGGCGGTTACGGTAGCGCAGGCTATTGTGTCCGATTGTATATTAAAGTTCGGCGTTATGACCCAACTAATCTCGGACAATGCCTCATACTTCAAAGGCGAAGTAATGTCTGAGTTAGGACGGTTCCTCCGCATTCATAGATATTACTGTACCCCCTACCATCACGAAGGTAACGGCGCGTGCGAACGGATTTTCGCCACTTTTCATCCAATGCTCCGTACTTATATCAACGAGAACCAACTAGATTGGGACAAGTATGTATGTGCTTGTGCGTTTATGTACAATACATCTGTTCATTCAAGCATCAATAATACTCCCTTTTTTCTTATGTTTGGACGCGACCCCGTGTTTAATATCGACCTGCTCATCCAACACGATTTGGAGAACCACATTCCAGCGGATGACTCGGGGTTCTACGTTCAAAATCTGGTCACTACCCTTCATGCAGCGTGGCGTTCAGCAATGTCTTTTAACGAACGTCAAAGAATAAAGTTCAAAGCGCAACACGATCGCACCCATCTTTCTCCCCTATCCATTAAGGAGGGCGATCGCGTATATCTTCGTGACCTGGCCCCCAAGGTAGGCCTGTCCCAAAAGCTTTGTTACCCATGGCTGGGTCAGTTTCGTGTGATTAAGGTAGATCCCCCTCACCTAATCATAGTCAGCGTCTCCTCTCCGCAGTCGGCACCTAAGAAAGTTCATATGAATCAAGTTAAACCATGTCAAATCCTGTCAGGACCTGTTTTCACTACCCCATGGCTTCCGGAACCAGAACAGCTTGCTCTTACTGCAGCCGAAGCAGTCGACAGTCCCGTGGAAGGCTACGGTCATACCGTTGATCAGTCTCCTTCTCCCGCACCTTCGGCACCCTCGCATTCGTATAATACTCGCTTCAGATTGAGACGTACATCGCTTTGACCGGTACGGTCAGTAACCAATTCAAATTCCGTTCAACTCGCTTCGTTGAGTTTACGGTCTCTCACGAGTTTCTTTCTCATGCCAGGCTTCTTTGTTTTTCTTCGGCGCTCTGGCATTCGCACATGTTTAAATGCCATTGCCTTTATCTGTTAGTCTCCTCGAATGACACGCCCACTTCACTCATTTAAACAGCCCTTCCTCATCAATCGCTCATCAACTGTCCTCCACTTTCTTCTTCCTTTTCTAGCCTTTTCATATACGTTTTTACTCTTCTTCGACGTCGCATCTTATCATTTAATGCATTCATGTACATATATCTCGCGTCGTATCCTATTTGCTTCTACATCTGATAAGTGATTCCTCTCTAACAATCGACTTCTGTTTTTTTTGTATTATCTCGTTTACGGTACATGTTATAGGTAATTACAAAGACCCGACTTTTGCTCAATTGCAGTACGTTCTTCTTTCATCTCTTTTATTTCTGGTGTGCCATATTCAGTTCGCGGTAAGGCAACCTTTTTTTAATTACTGAGCCGCGTAGCGGACGATACCAATAATATGTCGTCGAGTCGCACGTCGACCGACGGAGTGAACAATGGTTGCGTAGCAGCCGAAGCAACAAATATCCTCTCCGAGGTTTCAACCGAGGAGGTTTCCGTCATGGACACATCTGAACCGCTGCCCGAGGCACAAGGTTCAAGTTCTCAGAGCAAGAATACGGTATCCTCTCAGAACCCAGTGACTCCGGTCTTACAGGTTCGATGGGGAGCCCCCGTAACACTAGAGTCGTGCTCGCGTCGCTCACCTACTCCGAGCAGCCAGTCTAGCTCCTCCACCGTAGAGCAGCCAGCCGGGAAAGCTAAGCCCCAGCAGCCCTGTAAGTCATCGCTCGCGAACATGACAGCCTCTCTGGAACAGCTGGCAGTAGCTCACCTGTCTCCCCCACACCCTATGGAGGTAGAAGAGGAAGCAGACCATTCACCAGCCCCCCCACCTAAGCTACGTCGCAGCGGATCTAGCCGCCGCCAGCCAGTTCGAGCGGATGCGCCATCCTCCTCGCGTGGATCTGCGCGCGGAGCTCCCCCCTCGCGTGGAGCTCCCGTCTCGCGACCCCCCGCATCCGGCTCGTCCAGAACTCGACCTGCCACCTCGCGGCCACCTACGCGTGGAACCGCCTCAAGTGGACGCGGAGCCCCACGAGCACCTCCCGCAGCACGACCTGTTGCACCCCCCGCGGCGCCAGTAGTTCTTGCCGGGTCCCTTCCTCAAGTGGGTACCTCGCAGTTACCTCGGGAGACTCCAGAAGGCTTCACTCACCCTTGGATTACCAACCATCCGTGGGCGCAGTTCGTAAATCCTCGCCCGCTTCACCACCTTCACCTAAATCCACCTACGGTCACCACGGATCTCGATGTAAACTTGTACCGCCACCTGCCTGACTCGGGATATCTCTCGAAGCGCTTCAATAAGTCACTATTTCCGCAGGTAGTTTTCAGGGAGAATAAGTTGCCAACATCAATTCCCTTCATTGAGCTGCCGCACTTAGACGACACTGTCCGCTTCCGTGAGCAATCCCAGCAGGTTATTGACCAGATGATGGCGGGTACCTATGAAGATGTCGACGTTGCTTTCATACACGCAGACCTCAACCGACCCCACCAGTACATCACTAAACCACGTACCTTTAATTCCATCCATCCGGTTTTATATCAGGTGGTTTCCACAGGTTACGGGTCAGGCCTTGTACTGGAAGCAAAGGACTTTTTCATCATGGGCCCGGATAGACGTGACCTCCACTGTATTCTCCTAGACAGGTTCGGTATTGACATCGAGGCAGGCTGTCGTGGTTTCAATAAGTCTCTCGTTTCGGTTAAGGATTTTGTTTGGGTATACGACGTCAAACCGACACCTCAGGCTCTCGACTCCCCCGGGGACACCCTTAAAAAGGCTTCTATTCCCCGGACAACGGCCCTCGAAACCACGGCCTCCTTCTTCTTCAGAGCGGCCCACTATGCGTTCGTGACCATTACTAACCGCCCCGATCCCGTCTATGGCGTAATCCTCTCCCTCACGAAACGGAACAATCACGTTACCCAGACTCGAGCAGTGTTTGAGGGTTCCCCGGATGCAGTCACGGTTACTCCCGCGCTTTGCAATTTTAACCTCAGACGTCTGCATCAGTATGACATTGTGGCGGCGAATTCCCGCGTAAACGTCTCCTCAGCCATGCGATTCTGTGAACCCCCGGTATCATTAGAAGCGCGAGAGCACCTGGCGGCCACCGTCCGTCGGTTCTTTTCGATGCACCCGGAAGAAGGGATACTCCCCACACGGGTCTTCCTGTTGCCGCACAGTGATCGCGAATGGTGCACTGATCGGCTCCAGCGATTTGATAACTTCCACCGAGACCCGACGGGATCCAAACGCAAACTTGGTCGCATCTCTAACGCAGCTTGCGCAGCGCTCGCGGCTATAAATGCCGCCGGCGACGATCGTCGTACTCATTTGCGGGAAGTTACGCTAGTTTATCCCCTCTGGCACCCGATACGGATCCAATTCACCCTCACCGACATGGCTTCCGAAGCTGGATGGGCTCCTGGTCGGCACGTCGTTCTTTGGGTGGTTGGTTCTCCCAGTTTGGTTTGGGCTAAGGTGGTCACCCTGGTCAACTTCTCCGACCGCAAGTTGCTCAACCTTACCCTTGAAGCGTTCCCGTGGGCCAACACCGCGTTCCTCAGGGCGATTCGGCAGAACGGCCGCGACTCTGACGGATCTCGCATCTTTGATGCTTGCATTCGCCTTAGCCGGCCTAACGTAGCAGCCAACCCTATTTATGACCTGGTTTCCCGTCTGGATATCTTCGCAGGCCTTAATCCATACTCCATGGGTGACCAGGTTATTAACATCCTTTATTCCAATCAAGAGGCAGGCGCCAGCGAGCAGGAATACCTCCGCTCCCTTCCACCCCCATCGCAGGAGGCTCGCTCATTCAGAGTCAATCAACGTACTCTGACATTGACCCCCGACCAGCGAGACGCCATCCGAGTAGGCGCAAGTCGCATTCCGCTCGTAGCAATCCAAGCCGCGTTTGGCACCGGCAAGACACTAGTGGGATCTCTTATAGCGGCACTTTCGGCTAGAACTCCATCGACTACCGTCATCGTCACGACGTCAACAAACGCGGCGGTAGCTCAGTTTACGGAAACGCTGTTGTCATTGGAGGACTTTCCCGATATGCAAGTGGTTCGCCACATTTCGGATACGGCTGCGGCGGACAACCTTACCCCAACGCCCGTGGACCTTAGCAAGGTACTTCTTACCCTAGGAGACCGATTTAGGCATCAGCTGTCGCAAGAGGATCTGGAGGTCTGCCGTCGTTTTCAACGGTATCGCTCCTTGGTTGAGAACTACATTGGCAACCCCGACGCAATCCCCGGGATGACGGACGATGAGAGGGACGAGTACGAAATAGCGGAACAATACGTATCCCGCACACTCAAGCGGATGGTAAAAATATTATTTGCGGTGAATCGCCCCTCTGTTTTATGCATGACAACCTCGTCCCTGCTTAATTCAACATCCCGTTCCGGCATTTTTAAGTCTTACATCTCCTCCTTCACCACTGTAATAGGTGATGAGGCTTCCCAAATACCGGAACCAGCCCTCCTGACCATCGCCGGACGTTTATCTCACGCGCGCCACGTTTATATAGGCGACATCCACCAGCTCGCTCCGCACGTCAAATGTCCGCCTAACTCAAATCCCGCTCTTCATGGCGCACGCAGCGTCATGAGCCTTCTCCTGACCTCACCGGTGGTCCCAGTAGCCCCCCTGGTTACTACCTTTAGATCGCACCCCGCGCTTATAGAACTCCCTAATGTTATCGCTTATGATGGCACTTTAGTAAGCGGTACGATGGCGCAGGCCCGCCTTCTCCTCCTCACCAGAATGCGCTTCCCCTCGCCCAACGTTCCATTCATGTTCATAGACGCGATGGGCACCGCCGTCCGAGCCCCTAGTAAATCCTTGTATAACGAGGACGAAGCAATCATCTGTCGCCATCTCATAGACAGACTGATCGGAGTAGGAATCCCCGCACAGAGCATATGTGTTATTGCTTTTTACAGGGAACAGTACCGCTACGTGAAGGAAGATATGGGCGACCTCGGCTTTGAGCTCACGACAGTCGATTCAGTGCAGGGACGCGAGAAGGATGTGGTAATTTTGTTAACCACCAAGACTAAATTTTCTCAGGATCCAGAGGGCGAGTTCATCAACGACTACCGACGCCTGAACGTCGCAGTGACTCGCTCCCGACACGGCCAGTTCATCATAGGCCAAGCCAATACCCTCCGCCAGGTACCGGTATGGAACACCCTGTTACGTTGGGCGGACTCTATCCGCGCAGTCGTCCCAGCGGCGCAAGTACCTAGTTATTTCCAGAACTATTAAACATCCCTTTTGGTAAGACGTTTTGCTTTACTCTCTCAGTCGGTAGTAGCTTACCTAAAAGTCCGGGTCGGACTTTGGGTAAAGGGGGGGAGGTGTAAGCCGCGCTGTCGCTGTACCAGCGCGGCGATCATATGTTGATGTTCCCTGATGACTCATGAAGGAATTTCAGGGCGGAGCGCGGACCAAGAAGACGAGATCGAGGAGTCGACGGGATACCCAACCGGCGAGCGGTTTCTATCGTCTCGCATCAGCCACGAGGGCGAAGCC